CAGCCCAAGCCTCAGAACTGCACCAAGCGGGAAGGCGGGGGTGAGGGAATTAGTATTTTTAATAGTAATAAATAAATGTAATAACAAAATCAGTTTGAACTTGAAGAACTAAATTGTCTAATATCTTCTAGGTGATTTCAGTCCCCTTGCAGATACAGCAGAACATTTCAAATTTCTGATGGGATAATTAGGAAAATAATAGGGAAGCAATTATTAATTTTAATATTTTCCAGAAGTTTTTTTTTTGTCTTATTGAAGAGAAAGCAGTTTTTCAATATTATGAATGTCATCTAAATTTCATGGTCAGTTTTCTGTTTAGATTTGAGATGTAGAGCTAACTTTCAATAGCTATAGATAGATAAGCTATATGTACTCAAGCCTGGAAAGTAAATTTAGTTGATAACTTGTCAATTTATCACTGTTCCAGTTTTCTGAGTTCCCACAGAGGAAACACAGTCATGAGTTTTATTTAAAGTCATTATAATCATTTTCTTAGAAAATGTTATGGTTAATTTTCAATTTTTTGGTATTTGTAGTTCTTTGCCAGAACTCCTTGAAAAAAAAAGACTTATTGATCTCCACACAAATGTTGCCACTGCTGTTTTAGAGCATATAAAGGTAAATTTACCTTTTTCCCCCTCACATTTTGACTTGTGACTTGTGTTTATATAGGGTTTTATACTTTCTAAGATGCTTTCATGTTCTCGCATCTTTCATGTTCTCATTGAGCTTTCATTGTGACATAAAATATAATTATAGAAAGAAAAGGTATCATGTTCATTTCTTTACAAATGAGAAAAGTATCAGGAAAAATAAGTGATTAACCAAGAAAATTATTTTAATATATACTCTTGGATCCATGATATTTCTTTTATGTTGAACTGTGTCAAAAACTGCCTGTACATTTTACTTTATTAAGAAATAGACATGTATTTCATTATCAGTATTCTAGATTTAAAAATCCTTTCCATTGATATAATACATTCACAATTGCTTTTTAAAAGATGAGTATAAGCCAGGTACGAGTGGCTCAAGCTGAGATCTGAGGATCGCAGTTCAAAGCTAGCCAAGGCAGAAAAGTCCATGAGACTCTTATCTCCAGTAAATTACTCAGAATAAAACTGGAAGTGGCACTGTGGCTCAAGTGGTAGAATGTTAGCCTTGAGTCAAAGAAGCTCAGGGACAGAGCCCAGGCCCAAAATTCAAGCCCCAGGACTGGCCCCCCCCAAAAAAGTATAATTGCTGCTTGTCTCAATAAGTGAACATGCCCATGTAATTGTAACCCCTCTGTACAGTATTTTCACAATAAAAATAATAAGTGAACAATGTCTTGGGTATATGAAGAAATATTTTATATTTTAAGTATTTAAAAAGCCATAGAGCAGTAAATGGGAGCTAATACACATAGGTAATGATAACAGCATGAAATTTAAATCTGCATAATTTCTGTCAAGCTGACAACATAATTTTTTGTCTTTTTTCCCATATTGATGCTAATACTTGATATTTCTCATGTACATATAAGAATAGAATTATAATTGTAATCTGTATCTGCTAATATGTTCACTTCCCTGTGTTATAACTCTTACCAAATGACAAAAAGCTTTTCCCATCTGTTTAACTGAGACCATGAATCCAATAAGAAAGTAAACATTCATGCCCCCAAAAATCTTGACTCTTACTGGCATATATTAAGATAAAATTATGCAATAAGTACTCTGTGAGGTCAAACCCAGAAGTTTTTGAGTTTTGCTCTTTGCCTAGGTACTATGTACAAATAGACAACTAAAAGTGAATTTCTAGTTAGGCACCAGTGGCTAATGTCTGAAATCTTAATATTACTACTCTGGAGGCTGAAATCAGTAGAATAATAGTTCAAAGCTAGCCTAAATAGAAAAGCCTATGAGTCTCTGTCTCTAAATTAACCACCAACAAGCCAGCTGGAGGTGTGGTTCACAGGCTAGAGTGTGCCAGCCAAGAAAGCAAGCTAATCAAGTAGATGACCTAAGTTCAAATCCTAGCACTTACTGCAAATTAATTCTAGAAAGATAGTCTTAGGAAGGCTTAAAAGTCTATTCTGTGGATTTCCTTTGATTTATGTGAGAGACAGATTGCCCTTTTCTCTTCATTAAAAGTTTTGTTTTTTTATTTTACATTCTGACTTTTCACAGCTATAAAATGAGAAAAATGCCAAGCTTAGCTCCTGATACTAAACTGGTTGGGATGACCCAAAACATTTAAGTATTGAAAGTATGGAATATGCAGTGTTACTTTTATAAATAACTTTATTAAAAAAAAAAAAACATTCCTTCTAGCCAAGCGCCAGTGTCTCACACCAGTAATCATAGCTAGTCAGGAGGCTGACACGTACAGATTATGTTGAAGCCAGATGTAAGGATTACATTCAAAGCCAGCCAGAGCAGTAGAATCCTTGAGACTCTTACCTCCAGTTAACACCCATAAAGCCAGAAGTGGAGCTGTGGTTCCAGTGGCCTTGAGCAGAAAATTCACACACAGACACACACACACACCCTACCTTCCATAAATGTAATCTTTATTTATAAATTAGAAACTAGAACTTTGGTTTGAGAAAATTTTCTTTAAAGTAATAGTCATGTTTATAAAATGACTATTGTGCTCCTGTCCTGAAGATGTTATAGTTTGCAAAATTCTCTGTTCTCTTGGAGCTTATATAATAATGACAGTAAAAGAAGGCAGAATATCAAGCATTTAAGTGCTAGGAATAACAAAAGTAAATTGAGGCTGTAGAGGTGGCTGAAAGGCTTGTGCTTAAGTGATGAAGCACATCAGCCTCTAGGTGGTCATATTTGACTTGAGTCCTAAATCACAAGAAGCAGGCAGTTGGGAAGCTGGTAGCTAAGGATTCCAATTTAAAGCCAACTCAGGCAGACCAATCTATGAGACTCTTACCTCCAATTAACCAGCAAAAAGCCAGAATGGAGGTGTGGCTCAAGTGGTACTCCAGCCTAAGCAGAAAAGGCAAAAAGTCCCCTGAATTTAAACCTCAGAACCAGCAAAAAAAAAAAAAAAGCAGTTGGTTAAAATGGTACTTAATAAAGTACAATTTCTTTTTAAAGTTTTTATGGTAATTATCATTATCATTTACACCAGTGATTTTAGGTCAGTGTTTCAGATTAAGCTAAGCTATCTGTCCAAGATAGATCATGTCCCAAGATGCACATGCTTGAAATAAGCATTCTGCTTGAAGACCTCCTGGTCTAATGAAAATGTTTCAGCTTAGGCTGTAGTGCATCCTATACCCAAAAATTATTCAAGATAGTGAGTAATTTTATCTAAATGTTAGGCATTTATGAATCAGTGATTTACTATAACTAAAAGTAGACACATTCCTAACAAGATCTGATTTAAAGAAACTTCTATGAAGAACATTTGTTTTGCAGAAGGAAAATAATGCATATAGGAGAATACAATTTTCCTAGTTGGGCTGTTCTAGGAGACCCAATACCAAAATTTTTTTTATATCACAGAAAAAGTGTATAAATATTTACATATAAATTGTGGTTATACTTAGTAAACCATATATGCAGAAATTACTTTGATACAAAAATTCTGATAGAATTAATATTTTAAGTTTCTCCTCTCTTGCTAGATTGAGCCCATAAACTTCATTATTTTTATTTCTTTCTTAATCTTTTCATTATTAAATTTCCAACTTCATATTTACTTTAAGAACCTTTGTTTTGTTTTGTGAGGTCTTTCTTGGTATTGTTCATTTAGTTTTGTTTTGCTAGGCTGTGCTGTGCTAGGAATCAAATCCAGAGCCTTGTGCTTGCTAGCTAAGCAAGTACTCTACCACTGAGTTCCATACTTGCCCTTACCATCATTATGTGAACTATCACTATGTGTAGCATAATGATTATACTCTACCTCTGACTATAAATTTTGACATGAAGTAGTTCTTGTCCATAATACTTTGCTAGTTTCATCTTTTTAATATTTCTTTATAAACATTTATAAATCTAAGTAATTTTTTTTTTACTTTTTTTTTGGGTCCGGTCGTGGGGCCTGAACTCTGGCCTGGGCGCTGTCCCTCAGCTATTCAGCTCAAGGCTAGCACTCTACCACTTGAGCCACAGCGCCACTTCCGGCTTTTTTTCTTTTTTCTTACGTGGTGCTGAGGAATCGAACCCAGGGCCTCAGGCATGCAAACCAAGCACTCTACCACTGAGCCACCTTCCCAGCCCCTAAGTAAATTTTTATTAGCAGGAACATGTCTTATTATAGAATATTCTTTGAGCATTTCCCTTCAAATTTGTCTTTTTTGCAGTTGTACATATTTCTTCTTTGGGAATGTTTAGATAATTGCTGCTTACATTTTATAAATTATATTCTGAAGGAAGATACAAAGAATTTGTTTCAAAGTCCTTCAATATATGTTCTGGTGGAAAGTTAAAAAAAATACACTTCTATTTGCTACAACTTAGGCAAATATTCTTAAATTTATTGATACTCTGAAGATTTAACTGGTTAACTTTGATCAAATAAATTAAAGAGAAAATGGTTGAATATTCATTTTTTTCAGCTATTTATATTTTTAAACCTTTGCTTTAGTAGCTCTTTCCTCTCTAATGCACATAGGCTTTTCCACTTGGTGGTTGTTTGCACCTGTCTCATAACATTTCCATATGACAGAAGGAAAATATAATCTGTAGCGAGACGTCCCCATTGAACAAACTATGACTGTCTTCTACTGCTTCTCATCCTACATAAGATTAATCATTTATGAGTTTCTCTCTATTCAATTATGATTTAAAACATAGCCCTTAAGTGAATAGACTATCCTTCAGCTTCTTTTCCTGACTTATGGACTACTTTTACATCACTAAAAAAAAAAAAAAATGAAACTAACTGACTCTAGTTCTTTGCCATCACTAGTATGAAGGTAAAGCATCATTTTTCATAATCCAAAAACAATTAAGTTGAAAGGAATAAAGAGCTCAGTAAGAAAACAAACAACTGTGCTCACTCTGGTGGTACATATACTAAAATTAGAATGATAGAAAATTAGCATGGCCCCTGTGCAAGAATGATACGCAGATTCATGAAGTGTTCCATGTTTTTTGTGTAAAAGTTCATTCTACTCATAAAATGTACCGTGTGCTTTTCATCCTTTGAAATTTGTTGAAACTTCCTTCATGGCCTTGAAATGTTTTGTATTTTGTAACTTACATGAAGTGTCTTCAAATTTAAAAAAAAAAAAAAAAAAAGCGCAAACAACCTGTAGTAGTATAAGGGTACTTCAGAGAAGAAGAAAAAAAATCCCTTGGCTGAAAAATGTGAGTACATAATGTGATTCTTCTTGTAAAAGGAGAAGAAATGCTTTTGTGTGTATTTCTGTGTCATATAGTTTATATTTCCCTATCCAAGAAGGGAAATGAATCTCAGTCACTGAATACTTGGCTTAAGACCATCTGCTCAATCTGAATTTGAACTTGGGTTTTTAAGTCCAGTGCTCTTTCATTGGACAAGGATGGTTACTCATGGAACCAGGACATGTGGCTCAAGTAGTAGAGTACTAGCCATGTGTGAAAAAAAAAAGAAAACAAAGAGTGTGAAGCCCCAAGATCAAGCCCCAGTATCCCTTTGACATAACTAAGGGCTTAGAAATTTTCATTAGCTGGTCACCAGTGGCTCATGCTTATAATACCAGCTACTCGAAGAGGCTGAGATCTGAGGATCACAGTTCAGTGCCAGCCCAGGCAGGAAACCTGTGAGACTTTCATCTCCAAGTAATCACAGAAAGCCAAAAGTGGTGCTATGGCCCAAGTGGTAGAGCACTAGCCTTGAGTAAAAGGTGCTCAGGGACAGCATCAGACCCTGAGTTCAAGCCGCAGGACTGGCAAAAAAAAAAAAAAGAAGAAGAATTTAATTTTAAAATACAAAGAAATAGAAGTAGGGAAAAATCTTAGCTCCATTTACGATAGTTAATTGGAGTCTCACAAGCTTTTTTACCCAGGTTGTCTTGGAACTATGCTCCTCAGATCTCAGCCTCCTCAGTAGCTAGGGTTACAAGTATGAGCCACCAGTGCCTGGCTCAAATGTATTTTTGATACAAAATTTGTATTCATTGTAAATGTAAGGTTACTAAGGCTAACTATATTATTAAAGACATGCAAAATCATCACTGGATATTCTTTTCCCATTGTTTTATGTAATATGCATGAAAAAATACAGAAAGGCATGCATAATTTGACTAGATTTTTTCCAACCCACTTCTCTTTTTTTTCCCTAGTCCTTAGGTTTTTACTCAAGGCCTTAGCAGACACTCTTATATAACCTTTTTTAAATTTATTTTTATTTCTAACATACTCTCAGGGTATACATAGTACTAATTTTAGATAAATCTTGATGCAGTGTGCTAGAAAACAAGAGAAAAATCAGCTTCACTAACCAATGATGACTCTGAAACTTAGGGAAAAAATTCTACAATTCTTTTTATCAGAAAATCCCTTAGAAAGAAAGGAATACTTGAAAAAAAGTGGCTCTAAGTTTATGTTCAGTATATGTAACCTGCGTTTCATGAACAGTGCCTTTGCTTTTCAGTAATGTTTTTATTATATTTTAAATTTTATAGCATTTATTGATGCTGCCAAATACTTGCTTGTCTTAACTTTGTTTTATGGTTTTTAAGTTGCCTGTGTTCAATGAAATTCTTATCCAAATTATGTTCTCTTGAGCCCAATGAGAATAATCAGTCTTTGGAATTATAAAAGTTGCTTCCCTTAACATTTTCCCTCAGCTCAAGAATTTGAGAAAGACCTGTAGATCTCTTTTGCCATATACAAAAAAAAAACAAAAGAAAACATGTATTACCAAAAAGCAAAATATGTACTGACAGATATACTTTCATAAAGCATAGACAAAGGAGGTAATAAATTGTTCTTGAGGGAAATATAATTTCCCCTACTCTTTATATATGGTGTATACTGGAGTATAACCTGGATTTGAACCTTAGCTGTGGTCACCTCTGGTAACCTTAATAAATGTGTTTTCCTTTGTTTCTTCATCTTCAAAAGGAGACTAGTAATTATTAGCTTGTGTTTTATTTGGAGAAAATGACAAAAATTAAATTGGGTGTTTTTTTTGTTGGATTGTGTGTGTTTGTGTGTGTGTGTGAAAGAAAGAGAGAGAGAGAGAAAGAGAGCACACATGGGCCAGTCCTAGGACTTGAACTTAGGGCCTGGGCACTGTCCCTGAACTATTTTCCTCAAGGTTACCTACCTCTCTACTACTTCAGACACGGCTCCATTTCTGGCTCTTTGGTAGTTAATTGGAGATAAGCAGACTTTCCTGCTTGATCTGGCTTCGAACCAGAATAGCTAGGATTGCAGGCATGAGCTACCAGTGCCTGGCTAGGAAGTAGTTTTTCAACACTGTTCCCTAGTACTCTAAAGTTATATAGAGATATTTCATTAGTTGCTAGCACATATTTTCTGTAGGCTTCTAGAGAGTATTTGGTTTGAAAAAGGAGGTCATGAATTTGCTGTTTAATGGCATTTGGGAGTCATAGCTATAACTAAGTGCCTTACACCAAATGTCATAAACACCAGACACTAGTCACTCTATGCAGGTTAGAAACTCTACTAATTTTCCTTTTCAGATAGTGCTTCCTCATAATCAGCAAACTAAAATGCTAAGTCACTTTTAACAACTTTGTTCAGCACCATATAGTTCACCTGTTTAAAATCTCTAATAAAGACTGGAGATATGGTGAAGCTATTGCCTAGGAAGCTCTTTGTTCAAATACCTGTACACACACACACACACACACACACACACACACACACACACACACACACACACACACACACACACACACACACACACACACACACACACACACACACACACACACACACACACACACACACACACACTCCAATGAAGTAAATAATTCCAGTAGTTTGTAGTATATTCAGAATGACAACCATAATTACAACCTAATCTTAGAATATTGTAGTCACCTCAAAAAAAAAAAAAAGTACTATCCTAATCAAGCCAAACTAAGTTGCTTTTATGTACTGTACATTGCTCCTTACAAGTTAACACATGTATACATGTACATCAAGAGGAGGAAATGAATCAACTGTGTGCCTGTGCATAAATCATTGAACCATATTTTTCACTCATGTAAGTAGTTATAGACATTAAATCCTATTGTGACATGTGTCATACTAAGTTTTATATATTAAATCTTTAAAAGGTTTATGGCTTAGTGTCCCAGTACTCAGGAAGCTTAGGCAGTAGGATTCCAAGTTTAAGGACACCTTAAAATATTAATGGTCTGGGAAAAAAAAAAACAAAATTACAAGTACTTGTTAGAAACCAGGTGCTATGTTATACCCCTGAGGTTAAAAAGCAATACATATCCTTAAGCAACTTGCAATTTTAGGAAGATGACATATAAACAGAAGACAATAATTTTTTTGTATTTTTATGGAGAGCTGTATAAAAGGTACACAGTGAGGAGTGAGTTCTAGCTAAGAATGAGATCCAAAAAAGGTAAAAGCAGAGAAACAGCAAAGAAAGTGGACCTTGAAGAATAAGTAGAATCCTAGGCAGATAATAGAAGAGAAATATGTTCTTTTTTTCTTTTTCATCTTTTTCTTTTTTTGTCAGTTGTGGGGCTTGAACACCGTCTGGGCACTGTCCCCTGAGCTCTTCAGCTCAAAGCAAGCACTCTACCACTTGAGCCAAAGCACCACTTGCAGTTTTCTGGTAGTTAATTGGAGATAAGAGTCTCTGGGACTTTCCTGCCACGGCTGGCTTTGAACCACAATCCTCAGATCTCAGCCTCCTGAGTAATCCTAGGATTAGGCGCCCAGCTAAGAGATATGTTCTTAAAAGGCTAAGAGAATAAGATAAGCCTATGTCTGAATGAAAAAAGCGTGTCCAATACTCAGTGAAAATTTATTTGATGTGACTATAAGGGAAGGAACATAGTAAATAATGCTAAAAGAGAAAAGGCTAATGAGTCAGATTGTGAAGGACAATACCAGTTTTACATTGTTTTTTCCTTCCTTTCACTTTCCAGAAATTGGCTTTTCCTAATCTAATATTTCCGTGAATGTTGTGCCTATCTTAGTTTCTGGGGGTTTTCTTTGCCTTGTCATCACTTTGCTTCCCATATCCTTTCTGCTGTTACTTGCTAAACATCCATCTTTTCCTTTCCTTTTCTGCAGCAACTACCTTGAGCTTTTCTACCTAATCTCTCTTATGGTTTACTTGTCCATTTTAAATATTGTCATTCCTAGGATTTTACCTGTTACCTATTTTAGTTTTCAAAGAAGCTTATAAAGTACCAAAAGTAATTCCTATAGCATGCAGTCAAAAAACTGAAAAGCCATAGATTTTATAAGGAAAATGTTTTCCTTAGGTGGGGGGAGGGGGTGGGAGATGGGAAGGGACGGGAAAGGGAAACAAAGGAGGAGGCAACAATGCTTGATAAGAAATGTTCTCATTACCTTGCCCATGTAATTGTAACCCTTCTGTATGGTATTTTCACAATAAAAAAATGTTTTCCTTATTATACTCTTATCAAGAGTTCACTGGTGTCAGTGAAAGGGCAGAAGAGTATTTTGCTCTTTGTGTCAGAAAGAGAGGAAGGATCTATTCGTTTATATTTGCATAGAAACTGAAAAGCTATACAAGTAATCAAAGTAAAACAAAAAAATACCTATACTACTGGGTGAGAAAAGATGAGTGAAAATGGGACATCTCAGTTTTTCTATTACGTTTGGTTTTTAAACAACTGAACGTTTCATCTCTTTTAAACTCTTAAGTTACTCTTACACTGCAGGACAATGAAAGGGCTTTCAGTGATTTCTATCCACTTCTTATTCTACTACCCAGATGTCCCTGTTCTACAGTGTCATGCTGTGATCTGTGAAACTACAAAAACTACTGTCCCCAAATCATAACTTTAAATTCATTACTTTCTCTTCCAAACTTGCTTAACTATTATGTCATTTTTGGCATAATGTATGTATGCTAGCTGTTTATTATTTTGGTTCTTTGTTGGTATTTGCTAGATTTATGGAATGATTTCTACTTCTAGTTGA